GGACCTCGTCGCACGTGATCATCCGCTGCCTCGGGGCGGCTGGGATGGAGGTGCTGAGCCTCTCGTTGCCACCCTCGGGCTTGGACGCGGCGGCGAGGTGGTCCGCGCGCTGCTCCATACAAGCAAGCGCGACTTTGAGGTCGCCATGGACAGAGATGGGGCCACCGGGGCCCGGCATCTTCATCTGGAGGTAGGCGTAGTGGACCGCCGCCATGAACTTCACCAACGCGGGCCTCCCCAGGACCGCGTTGTAGGGCAGACTGAGGTCCGCCACATCGAAGTTCACCCGCTCCGTGCGGAAGTTGGCGGATCCACCGAAGGTGACCGGGAGGTCGATATGACCTAGCGGCCAAGTGTGCCCCGGCGTCACACCGATAATCGGCTGGGACGGCCGAAGCACCATCCCCGGGGCCTTGATGGTGTCAAAGGCTGCGGGGGAAAGGATGTTGAGGGCTGCACCCCCGTCTATGAGGACACGCCCCAACTTTACGTTGCAAACGGTGGGGGAAACCACCATCGCGATCTGTCCTCCCCGGGCAACGCACGGCGGGTGGTCGGTCTGGTCGAAGGTGAGGGCAACCTCCGACCACCGCGTCGCCTCATGGGTAGGGGCCGCGGCCAGAAGCTCTCGCTTCATGGCCTTGAGGCTCCGACGAGAAGCGTGAGCGCACGCTCCCCCATCGACGGTGGCGATGGTGGCCCCAGGCTCCTGGAACCCTAGGTCATCGTCGCCATCGTCGATGTCCTCAGCGGGGGCCTTTTGCTTGGCCTCACTTCGCCGGTTGCCGGAGGGAGCCGCCGGGGCCTTGCCCTCACGGCGCTCCTGCCTCCTCTCCTCCTCCCACTTCCTCGTCCGCTCAGCCAAACTTTTGACCGCGCGGCAGTCCGCGAGGTCGTGGAGGGAGGTGTTGTGCACGGTGCACCACTTGCCGGTCGGGCGCTCCCTGCTGGGAGCGCCAGCCTCCTTCTTTTTGTTGCTCGCAGGCCTCCCCTTTCGGGTGGCCCGCGAAGCGCCCTCGACGGCGAGGACGTGACCCTCGTCGTCGGAATGGGCCGACCTCTTTTTCCTCCTCCTGTCCCGCCGCTCTGACCGAGCAGCGGATCCGGGGGCGGCCGAAGCTGCCACACCGGAACCGGTGGAGTTCCAGGTCCAGGCCTCCTCCTTGCGAGCCACACGGTCCGCGAGCTGAAAAAGCTCCGCGGTGGTCTGGGGCTCCTTGGAGGCGATCTTTTCGAGCATGCGGTTGTGCCGCACGCCCCGCCTGAACGCGTAGATTACCGCGTGTGCAGGGATGCATGGTATGGTGTTGCGGACTTGACAGAACCGCTGAATGTACGAGCGAAGAGACTCATCGTCCCTTCGCTGTACCGCATGCAAGTCCGCTTCTTCACCTGGGCGTGGATATGTGCCTTGGAAGTTCATGGTGAACTGCTGGCACAAATCCTCCCAAGAGTGGACCGTCGCGGGCGGCAAGTTCATTAGCCAACCCCGCGCCTGTCCCTTCAGGTCCATGGGGAAGAAATTCGCCATGACCCTGTCGTCACCCCCGGCGGCCTCGATCCCGGTCGTGTAGACCTGGAGAAACTCGGCGGGGTTGACACTTCCGTCATATTTTTCGGTGATAGTGGGCCGGAACCTTGGGGGCCAACGGACGTTCCGAAGGCTCGCCACAAAGGCTCGACAGCCGACACCACCAACCGGGGGCACGGGGGGCTGGCCCCCGCGCCCAAACCGAAGTGGCGCTCCGGACGAGGAAGCGCCTTCCGTTGCGTGGGCAGCACGACGACCATTGCGCCGGCGCTCGATACTGAGGCGGGCATCCGGCCCCCTACGCACATCTTCTTGGGTCGGAGGCGTTGACGAGGAAATGGCAGACGAACGGCGGGTAACGGCCGCCGCTCGCCGCGCCCTCCGCCTCGACGACACGGAGCCGGCGGTAGCAGCGCCAGAGGCCTTGGTGGCGGAGGACCGCCCACCGGCGCCTAGGCGCTGCTGCGCCGTCATGACCAAGTCGGCCACGTCATCCAGCCAACGTCGGGCTGGAGTCTCTGGATCGGGGACGACGGGCGGGTGACGCAAGAGCGCGCCCGCAGCTTGGAGCGCGCCCTGGGGCGTGCTGCCATCGCCGTAGACGAGGAGGCGACGCTCCCCGTCTCGCCGTCCTTCTCCATCGCTCGTGGGCGGCGAAGTCGCGGATCTTTCGACCCCCTCGAGCACCTCCTCCCGCCTAAGACTTCGGCGAGAGGGGGGCGGTGGAGTACGAGCTCGACGGCGCGGGTTCTGCTCCCCGTCGTCACCGCTAGCGCTCGGAGAGAGGTTGTGCGCCACTGCCCGTTCGGCCATTGGGCTGAGCGGGAGAAGCTTGGCGCACACGAAAGAGGACGAGGGCTTAGAAAAACACACGCGCCCCCTACCTGGCGCGCCAGATGACGGAGCGTGGGGCTCCTCACCGGGAGACCGCGCGGGCCCCCCTTTGCCGGTTCGGCCAGGGGCGCAAGGTGAGGTTCTAAGCCCTCGATCTGTGGAATGTTTCGCGAGAGAGCAAATGCGCAAGACACGGGCGATGTAGACAGGTTCGGGCCGCTGAGAAGCGTAATACCCTACTCCTGTGTTCTGGTGGATCTGTGTATGAAGGAGTTACAAAGAGCTGGAGAGCAAGAGAGTTCAAACTCTAAAGACCCTCTTCCTCTTTCTCTCCTCTCCGAGCTCCGGTGTTTTTCCCCCCCCCCTCTTCTCTCTTTTTTCTCTTAAGTGGGCAAGGTCCTCCTTTTATATCTCAAGGGGATACCACATGCACCACTTCTACCTACTCTTCTTTTGGGTGGGGACTCACCCTATCTTCCAAAAAAAAGTGGCTTGCGCCTTCGCCTAGAAGCTAAATCACAGCTTGTCTTTGAGTGAGGCCCAGCGTCATCACTCGCCTGACACCGGGGATCTCCCTGTTACTCCCTCATTAATGGGCGGAGATTTGCCATGGCTGCTGTCCGAATGACCCTCCGATGGGATGAGCCATACCTACCTCCACTCCGCCGGAAGCAGGCGCAACGTGGGAGCACGGTTGTCTGCCGATGACGTGACCGGCGTCAGACCAGTCACAAACCGGTCATTCTTGTCTACCACGCGTCAGTTTAGCATGCCACACGTCAGCCCTTCTTCATAAAATGACTTCCTTGTAATGGTTGCGATGAAGCCTGGTATGAATCTAGCCGGGACTGACGTGCTAACTCCAGGAGTTAGCATGCTGGCTCCGGCTAGGGACGAGTGCCTAGAGGCTCTCATTATTCCGACGGGACGGGGCGAGGCGTGCGAAAGGCCGCCTGTTGCCACCTAACCCGCGATCTGACCGGTCTGTGACCGGTCACACTGTGACCTCTCACGGACCGAACGAGTGTGCTGCGCTGCATTAAATGCGGCGTGGGGCGCTCGTCCAACCCGCAATAAACGCGGTTAGGTGAGCGCCGCTGTGCTCACCTAACCCACACACGTGGCGCCAAACCCGCAGGGGGTCGGGGCGCCCTAGCCCTCAGGGCCGAAACGGGAGCGGCCCAACCCCTCGGGGAGACAGAGGGAGGGGCGGCCACATCACCCTCGGGCCCGACCCCCCCGAGGGGGTCAGGCCACGTGGGTGACCGCGGCTGCCCCAAACCTCTAGTCAAGATACCCCCGGTCCCATGTCACCGACAATAATAGTTAATATGTAATTAATCACGCGGTAGTGATTCATTCTATGTTTCGAACAACGAACAACTTCAACTGAAATGCTCCGACAAACACAACCTTCGTATGAATTGATACACGTATATTAATATATAATTTTATTGCGAATAACCAGAGTTCCCTAAATACATGTGGCTTCATATTTAAAACAAATTTTCGAGAAACTATTGGAGTTTCAGCCTAAAAGGGAAACCTGTCCAAATACTTGTGCATCAGATTGTGCATCAGATGATTCTATATTGCTTAACAAACTGTACAACAGAAAATAAACTAATCCTAACTTTTCAAAAAAAAAGAGAAATAAATTAATCCTAACCGAGCCTTTTTTTCTGCAGTCAGTATAGTCACGGACTCAATTTTCCGTCAGTAGCCTTCTTTGCAATCCAATGAATACATTCCGTTAGCATCGCGCCGGCGCCCCACTATGCAGTACCAAAACAGCTCCCTGATGGGTATACACCTGTAGCGATGTTCTGTACGTTGAATCGTGCGTTATTCGCCATCCCCATTCACCAATCGCCACCTGAACGTACGTGAATCGCACCGTCCGAAATCAAAGCCCGTTTCTTCTGACACAGATCTGTGGGAGCGCGGATATATAAAAGTGTCAGCGATAGGTGGGGTGCAGCTGTGATGTGAGGGCTGGGTTAGTTACTAACTTTTTCTTCAAATTTTCAAATTTTATATCACATCAAAATTTTTCTACACACATAAATTTTTAATATTTTCAACCACATCATTTCAATTTCAATTAAACTTTCAAATTTAACGTGAACTATACACACACTGAGCTTTCAGATCTGCGTTTTAGAGCAGGTACAATAGCAGGCTATAAGCCAGCTGCAAACATATTTTAAGTAGATAAATGAGGAGAAAGAAGGGCGGTGGGCTACAGATTTATAGCCAGCTGCAGTACGGACTCTAAGACGCAGTGTCTGTATGACAGGTGGAACCATATATTAATAGTGTAGTATGTAAATATTGTATGAATAAGCTATTAGATTAGCTATAGATAAATTGAAGCTAGTAGTTGGCCATACTGTTGAACTTGCTCTTACGGGGGCCTTCCGCACACGAAGATTGGATGCGGACAACAGCACGAGCATGCTGTTTCAGGAATCCATCCGTTCCACAGTTCCCAGCCGCGTCGCTGGCGTCTCCCTCGCGTGCCCACGTTCGCTCGCGGATAGGGGGCGCGTACGTGCGCCTCGAACGACGTGTGGACGCGATGGAAGATGCGTTCTGTACCGGACACATGCACGCACGCGGCCCGTGCCACACAAAAACCGTCTCGGGCTTTGGGCGCCGCGCGAGCTGGTGGGAGTGGGACACCGCGACGATCGATGCAGGCGATTCGCCCGGGCCGTTCGTGCCGCCTGGGCCGTTCCTGCGGCCGCGACGGCGTCTCCTCCCGCTGCCTTGCTCGGCTCCACCGTAGCAGCGGCAGTAGCAACGGGGGCGGAGGAGCAGTGAGGTGCGCGAAGGCAGCCGCGCAGTCGATGGAGGCCGTGAAGAAGGACGAGGAGGCGAGGGTGGTGGCGCTGCGGGCGGTGGAGGCAACGCCCGAGTCGTTCGCGCCGTTCGGCCAGGTCATCGCCGCCACACCCGACGGCGACGAGTTCGGCCCCCACGACGCCCAGCTCGACCTCACCCGCGGCATCCCAAGGTCAGGATGCACCACCCCCAATCTTCTTGCAGTTCCACGAACTAGGAATACACGCGTCGCGCGGGCACACGTTACACGTAGGGCGGTGATGCGGTGGCCGGTAGGTGGGACGGGATGATGCAGGCGCACTGGGCCTGGGTCAACCGTGAAGCCTTCTCCACTCCACTGATCCACTCCATCGCCAATTCGCCGTATCAACTCACCAACTGGGGAAAACGCCGAAGTCGAGGAGGGGAGGCCGCCCGGTCCGCGCGCGATGGCCATGGAGGGGGTGAGGGTGGTGACGCTGCGGGCGGTGGAGGCCACGCCCGAGTCCTTCGCGCCGTTCGGCCAGGTCGTCGCCGCCTACGGCGGCAAGCGCTTCGGTCCCAACGATGCCCAGCTCGACCTCAGCCGCGGCGTCCCAAGGTCTCTCAACCCACACGCTGCCTAGCTAGCATCGATCCATCGATCCCGTCTGCATCTCTGGTTCCTGCACCTGATTTAGGCGAAAGGTTCCCACTTCCTCTGATCTTTTTTTTTCTCTCCTCTACTTGGCAGGTTCTACATCATGAGGTTGGAGAAGCGGCCGCTCAAGTTCTGGACGATCACCCACCACGCGAGCGTGACCCAGTGCCTCGGCTCCATCGGCGGCGAAGATTGGTACCTCGGCGTGGCCAAGCCCTCGATCGTGGAGGATGGGGCACACGAGCAGGGCGGCGATGGGAGGAAGCCCGTGCAGTCGCGTGCTGGCCACTACTACCTTCCTCCCGATCCAGCTGAAGTCTGCGTCTTCAGGGTTTCCGGCGCTAAGTTTCTGAAGCTGCACATCGGGACCTGGCATGCGGGGCCGCAGTTCAAGGCGGATGCGGTGGATTTCTACAACCTGGAGCTCAGCAACACCAATGTGAGTTCTAAGCTGTTGAATTGAACTTCGACTTATTAGCTATTGGTTCTTGCGTTCAGTAATACTGGAAAAAAATGGCTTCTCAACTTTAAAAGGTAGGAATGTTTTTGTTTGTTCCATTTTGCTATGCACGGGCGCGGTGCGTTTACGCATGGCCATACAGTTGTGTTTGTTTATATATGTCTTAGAGCCTGATACAATTTTAGGAATAAAACTTATTCAACTTTTAATTTCACCAATCCTTATCACTGACAGAAGTGTGTGATCTTGCTTGCAATACTCAGTACTACAATGTTTGGATAGTCCAGCACTATGAAAACATTCTTTTGAGTAAATTTCACAAAACTACAATTTAGCAACTTTAGTAAGGTATTTCGCAGAACAGCAACAACAGAATTTTATCAGAAAGCTATAACTTTATCCCCATAAGTTGTATGATTGTATGTAGGAATTGAGAAGCATGAGTACTTCATATGTGTATGACACGCCACCCAAACTTGGCACACAAATAAGAGAAATTTTACACTACTTGAGAAAGTACCTTGAGGTACCTAAATTTTTGATACCTTGAGATATACCTAGAGTTACCAAATTTTACTATAGAAAATATGGTATCTCTAAGTACCTTCTCAAGGATGGTAAAATTACCCCACAAATAAAGTTGCAGTTTTATGATAAAATCATATACTGTTGTCACAGTTCTCTGTAATGGCTAGCTAAAGTTGTAGAAAATTGATAGTTTTGATAACAACAGTTGTAGTTTTCTGAAATTTACTCTATTCTTTTAGAATAGTTTTCTATGGTGCTGTGGGAAATACTATAGTTGTGCCTCCTTAATAGATATTTCATGAAACAGTGCATGAAAATTTCATCTTTGTGCACTGTTTACATCAAATTCTTAAGCCCTTACTCATCTTTTAGGCATTTTGGAGAGTTTATCAGGTTCAATCTGGTTGCATCTGTGTATACAGTTCATTGAAGCAGTGTGCTCTGTGGTTGCATTTGTCTTTTAGACTAAAGCAGTTTATTCAATGACCGATTTGGCAATTTCTATTGTCTTCCTAGTTAATAAACTTGGTTCTGCTTATTGCTGACTTATATGCATGTTTTCGTAATTGTATTCTTGCCAATAAATCTAGGGTGCCAGTGTGGTAATAATCTTCTCTAAATGAATTATTGTCAGTTAGAGTTGGAAACTTATCTGGTAGTCTCTGATTGCTGGTGTGTCCAGAACCGAAATCCACAGAGTCTTGTTTCTGTGTCACAAGAATGGACCAACTGAACCTGCCGGTTCTAAATTTTGCGATGGACTCCAGATATCTGATGCTTGTCTAATCTAAAATGAGTTAGTAATTATCTGCTAGTTGGAGGCCAATGACAGGACCCATATTCCTACTTTTGTTAGGGTGCAGAAATAACAAGGACATTCTTTCGAAAACAACTCAATATGTTGTAGCACTAAAGAAAGTCCAACAATCTAGTTGGTCTGCCAAGTTTGGTGGTCGTCCCTCTTTCCATAACTTCTGATAAGTGTCTTTCTTTTTTAGAGGAACTTTTGTATACATGTCAATTAGTAGCATATATTTATCATCATCTTTTTGGGATGTGCAGTTATGTTACTACAACATGTCATTGCTACCATCAGACTTATGTTCAATTTTTATTTGACAAACTGCCATTTCTATCTCGAAGTTAAACTTTTCCTTTTCCCCCTTGTGAACCTTTGAAAAGGGCAGGGAGTTCCTGCAATTCACCTCGAAGTTAAACTGAGCATATGGTGTTTGTTTCAGTCATAATACTTTTGCTTATTTCTTTTCAGATTGTCGACCACACTACGCACGATTTCAAGAAAGACGACGGGGTAACTTTTGTGATTGAGGACTGAGACACATTTCACAACCTAAGGCTGGGTAATGAATATGCTAGACTGTTTGCATGTCTTGTCTGTTTCCTGAGTTTTTAATGAACAATCGATATGCAAATGTGATGTACAATATGCACATATGAGCTGCTTGTTCAAGTCATTGTAAAAAACAAATTAAGAAAAAAGAGGCAAGGGGAGTCTCTAGTGGGTACACCCAAAAGGGCAAAAAGCCGTCCAGTATGAAATGATGTTGCTCTTTTCTGAAAACAATATGAATGATTTGAGTCAATAAGTGATGTATTTCCAGAGAGAGAACTATCAGACAATGGACTTTCTGGTATCGTGGCTGTCATACTATGTTTGTGCTTGTGGTGCCGCGAAAAATCTTACTACTCGAGTATTATTGACATACCAAAATCTCGTTATCAAGGAAGTGACATTGGACGCGCAATTCTGAACGCGGAGAGATCGGCAGGGGGCGCCAGGGGGATCGACGGTGACGAGACGGAACCTCGACAACGACGCGCCCTGCCGATCCGGGCAGCGTTTGGACTTTTTTTTTAAAAGCCCCGATTTGGATCGATCGCGGCTAACGATTCGGCCACCTGTCCGCTGGGTCGATCCGTAGTAGGCGCTTGGCCGGCCATGACGCACGGCGGCGCCGGCGGCCCGGCCTCTCGCCCCATACCCACGGCGGCCGCACGCCGCACAGTCGCGGTCATACGGGCGAACGCGGTGGAAGATCCAGGCCGAGGACGATGGCGCGACGTCGGCCCCCAGGCTCAAAAAAATATAGGAAAATTATTCGCGGCTTTGGCCTCCAAATTCCTCTCGCAAGCGCCACGTTTCCCCGACGTCCACGTCCATTATCCGGCCTGGTCAGAGAGAAAACCGGGCACCCATGCTGATTAGCCGCTGCTTAGCAATTGATTATGGATTAATTAACAGGATAATACTGGAGTACTAGCTCTAGCTGCTGCTAGTAGTAATCAGCTGCTCATAAAAAGCAATCGTTGGAGAAGCAAAAGCGCACGGCACGAGGGACGCCCAATCCTCCGTGTCCGTTGGCTCAACTCGACCAAACAACCGCCTTTTTTTTTAGTCTCCACTCTCTCCACTTCCCCCCCTCCATTGCCGCCCCGTTTCTCTCTCTGATCGGCAAAAAAGTGGATGCTCCGGCTGCTCGACCGCCATGGTGAGGTCTCTCGACAGCTACCCCTCCATCAAAGATGTCACCTACAGGTTCGATTCTGCTTCCCCTGGTCGAAAAATTGGTTCTTGGATCAAAAATAACTGCCAAATTCGGTTCTTTTCGTCAGTTATGCTGATTTTATCTTTAGTATGATTCACCGAGTATGTGGTGTAGTTTCCCTAATTTGGATTTAGAGGGAATCCAATTTCTGAAGTGCTGTTGTCTACTTGGCGGCAGCTGCGGATACTGCGGGTACGCGCTGAACCTGAGCTCGTCGACGCGGAACACGGCGAACATCGGGTCCAAGTACGGGAAGCAGATCAAGAAGGGGGTCGTCTCCTTCTTCGCGGTGGACGAGAGCCGGTTCACGCAGGCCGACGAGGTCACCTGCGTGCCCTACTTCCACTCGCGGCGCTCCTGGGGGCTCTTCCGGCGGAGGTCGCGGCTGCTGTGCCGGAAGTGCGGCGGCCGCATCGGCAGCGCCTACGAGGAGGACGAACCCGCCGCCGCGGCGCTGCCCGCGTGCGACGGCCCGGACGACCTGCGCACCACGAGCTCCGGGAGCAGCGGCAGCGCGTCGAGCCAGAAGAACTACGTGATCAAGATCAACGCGCTGCAGCCCTCGTCGGACGATTCTGATGCTGTTGCCTTTACCCTATGACGATTCTGCTGTAGCCTGTCATCTCTTCCGGCCCGGTTGAATTTGCTGCTGCAGTCTTGGAATTCGCATTGGGAGTGCAAAAAGGGTGATATTGCAGTCAAGGAAGGGATCGCCATGGCAGTGAGCTTTTGGAAGGGTTTGATACCATCATGATCTTGAGTCACCTTTGCTGTCTGTAGTAGACTAGTAGTGCTTTTCTTTTCTTCTGTGAATTGGTGGGAGTATACACTGGTTGTTAATTTTTGGATCTGTTAATATTGGAAAATGACAAAGTTTGCTGTATGTGGCTTGGCCCTATTGAGTTTGTACCATCTCATGAGGTTCATAGGGGTTGCAATTTTGAGTCATCTTGCTTTACTGGTATGTCTTAAGTTTCTCTACACGGATTCTTCATTAGTCTTCTAAGAAAGCATGGGTTGTTGCATTGTGTCAGTTACTGAATATAAATTCTCTGTTAAACTTTAAATTATAGTCTTTTGGTTTTCCAGAAATAGGCATGTATCTTCAGTTTTGTTAAGCTGATAAGGTGAAACCATAATTCTGATTTCTGTTTATCAGTGTAATTTTCCTCTGGTGCCAGCTCGTCAAGAAATGGGACTTGGGAGCACAGAATGAACTCATGTAAGCAGGGCTCCAGGTGAGCTCATGTTCATACAAAGTTTTTAGATATAAGTAACAACTTCATACAAAGCAGTAACTCAGTTGTATAGCATGGTAAAGAGCGTTGTAATAACCAAGAAATATCTGTTCTAATCCACAAAATTTGATATGCAAATAGCAAGATGAAGGATCATTTTCTGAGAAAGATGTAAAATTGTAAATTTTACTGCTCAAAGAATCACTATCAGTATCATATACAAAGGAGCTCTTTAGCTGGAGCAGTACAATTGTCAGGTTTCCCTACTAGCTAGTAAGAAACATACATACATTTAGTAGAGATAGTTGATATCATGTTGTAATAATCAAATCAAATTAAAAAATAATGTAAAAACACTTTAGCACTTTATATGATTGTCGTAGTTTACTCTATCATTCTGCTTCAAGTGGCTATTGAGTTGGCATGGGTGTATTCTGCAAGAAGTGTCTGAATAATATAAGTGCTTCTCGAGGCCGGTGTAGTGGTACCTCATGGCCTGCGCCTGCTATAGTGACGAGAGTTAATCCTTTATACACTTGACTCCAACCTCCAACCTGCAAGAGGAATATATCATGTATTCAAATGATTCATTCTGACCCAGAATTTGCTTAGAACTGCAAATAGTTTTTAGTATACTGACCTTTCCGTGGTCATACCAAGGGTACCAATTGACCATAGTTGGAAGCTTAAGAGCATCTATTGAGTACCTTGTTGCAGTAACAGGAACTACAGCATCTGTATCCCCACTGTGAAAAGGAGTAAAGAAAATCACATAGCAAGTTAAGTCATCTCACTAAATGTTAGCCAGCACAATATAATGGATTAACTTTGTAGCAGTAGTAACTCATTAGATCGTAGTATTGAATCAAACAATGAGTTGAAGTACTGGACTGACCTGAAAACCCATATCCTGATACCAGCTGCAATCAATTCTTGGTAGATAGGAAGCATAGATTTCGGGGAATCTGCCCAGTATGATCCGACAATATCGCTGTAGAACAGACCAAATGAGTATATGTGTGTGTAAGAAGAGCAGAAATTTTAAGGCACAATTAACATCTATATTTATTAAAACCTGCAAGTTTTCCATGAATATTGAATCCCAGTGGTGTTAGCATGCATCGCTATCTGCACTTCTGGCCGGTTGTAGTAAATACTTGAGTATCTTTCTGTGCAGGGATCATATGCTCTGGATAACCAAGGCTGTGGATGGCAACATGATGTTAGGTACAAATAGTATGGCCAACAATTATCTACCGATATACATATATAGGCATCAAATCAAGCTGAAAAAAGACATGCTAGGCAGAGGAATGAGAACAGGAAAATAAAACAGCAAATTCTAAGGTTCTGCAAAGTACAGTATAATATTGCAGAAACATCAACCCATGCACTCTATCTGATCTAGATAGGGTGATATAACCTTTTCTGTATTCAAGAAGTACCAAATGCCACAATAGGAAATAAACGCAATCCATTATCTAAATATATAACAAAATAATCTAACTGAAATCAGTAATAACTTCTTAAAAAAGAAATTAGTTCTAGCCAAAAGGTATATTTACTAAACAATAAGTTTATTATTGCATCTTTTACCACATTATATAATGGATTTCCAAAAGGTAATTTTCCTCTTTTATGTGTTGCAATGCAGCTACTTTCTTATTCTTAATCAGCACAGTTCAATGTGTTTCGAGTAGTAAATTCACTGTTTCATGACCATCTAAATAGATCTGTTATAATGGGTTTAAATGATCTAAGTAGTGGAACTAGATCTGTGCAACAAAGTCAAGAGGGTGATCTAAGTTATCAAAAGTCAATGAGAAAAAAAGAACACTTACGTAGCGTCCTCCCAAGCCAAGTTTGAGAGAGGCTGTATTATTGCAGGGCTTTGTATACAGGCTGTAAGGATCGATATTGCCTTCTTCTGAACTGGCTAGGTTCAGGTTCTTTAGACATTCAGGAGAAGGGTGCTCAGAGGACTCAAGCAAGCATGTCTTCTTCAGGTTGTGATAAGTGTTGTCAGAGATGAGGCCATGAGTCCACCAATACTCAAAGGTACCAAGATAGTCGTGGTAGTCATCAGTAACCGCATTACCCACCTAATTTTTCAGAAACCAAAAAAATTCAGAACATACACATACTCAAACTAGAACAGGCAGAACATGGATTTCAGAGATCTACCATGAATCCTTTGAGATTAATTATTGGATTCTGAATGCCCTTGTTCTGTTCATAGATGAGCTGGGCTAACTGGGGAACGTAATGCCCTGAAAGCACCAAGGAAATACATCCCTGTAAGTCTTTCATCCACCAAATAGCAAGAACAGAAAATAAAATAAAAACTTATCTCATGCAAACTTACCTGCATAGCTCTCCCCAGCAATGTAGAACTCCCTGTACTTGTATTGTGGGAATCTCTCCAACCAGTTCACCAGAAATGCATAAGCATCCGATGCTACAAGATTAAAAAACAAGTGACAAGTAATCAGTAACTGAATCATGGTAAATCAGGGCTTAGTGGATAGCTCACAGAAACAAATGGCCTCGAATTTGTTTACCTGTCTTAGCATCTCCTGCGACGTACAGATCCAACGTCTTGTTCGAGTACGAGAACCCCACGCCGGCCGGCGACTCCAAGAACAGCAAATTCGCCGCTGCAATCACCAACAGAAATTAAAAACGAAATTAATCAACAGCCAGAGCCACTCCCAGCACTGCCATTGTTAGCAGCATCACTTGCTGTAACAATGGAGCTCAAGAACAACAATTGCAAAAGCTACGCACCCTTGTTCCAAGAATTGGGGTTCAGGTACAGCGTCTTCCCGTCGGGCCTGATCCGGAACGGGCCGACCTCCTCCGACGCGCCGTACCCGACCGACGAGCACCCCGGCCCGCCGTTGAGCCACAGGACGAGCGGCGCGATGGGCCCGGCCGCCGGCACCGCCTCCACCAGCCAGTAGAAGAGCGCGCGGCCGTGCGCCTGGTTGACCGTCACGTAGCCGGAGTACTGCGAGAACCTCACCTTCGCCGGCTGCCCGGGGAGCTCCCGGATCCGGTCGCTCTCCTGGTCGCCCGACGCCGCGGCCGCCACTGACACTGACACTAGCAGCAGCACCAGAGCCGCGGCCTTGTGAGCCATTACGAGCTCCAAAATCTCCAATGGCCGGACCACGGGACACCTGAGCGTGCCAAGCAAGAAGCCTTGCACTTGCTCAAGTACGCAACACTGCTGCTGCTACTGAACAAGATGAGCTATAAGAAATCCAGAGCTACTAGCCACCAAAGGAGGCCAGGTTGCTTGCATGGATTTCAGTGAGGCGGGGTCGTGAGCTTTGATCCTTACGCCACCACCTTCCTGCACTCTCATTGACCAAGGACAGCTCAAGAACCCTTGGCAACCGCTAAAGAAATGGAGGCGGCGGGAGGACGGCGGTTGAGCTCATTCGCTCTGACCAGCGGCGCGCGGGACAGAGAGGTAGTGTGCGGAGATTTTCTCTTGCTTTCCCCGCGCCGGGGATGATTGATTGGCGCGAGTACAGCTCAGGGACGGAGGAAAAGGGCGGATCAGATCGCGTACTATTGGCACGCCGAACCGGATGGATTGCGAGATTAGGTAAGCGGCTGCGTGCGCTACAGATCGGGCACTCACTGGCTCACTGCTAGTGTGCTAGCTCGCTCTAGCGCTGTAGCGCAGCGACGCGGCGGGGCAAGTGGGGGTGTCGGCAACTCGGCATTAGTATAGTGGCAGTGGCGGTGGTGGTGGTGGCGGCGGCGCTGGCGGCGAGCGAGGGCGCGCGTGTGAAACGGAGGTAGAAGAAGCTGAAACGAGCACATGGGATGGGACTGGGAGGGAAACCCCCGCGCGCGCGGCAGCGGCAGCGGCAGCGAATAACAAAATTCGCGGAGGATGACGCGCGCGCCTTCCTTGCCGCGGCAGCGGCGTCCGCTCGTGCGCGCGTGCGCGATGGAAAGCGGAAGGCAGAAACGGAGCACGCGGCGCAACGTGATTGAGATCGTGAGGGTGATTTGAGATGGTGAGGCGTTTGCTAACTTTGAGGCGCTCAAGACGGGATTTGCTTACGAGAGACACGGTGATAATGACGAGTCGTACGAAAGAACGAGCAGTCTCCCAGAAGAACAGTCACCAAACTGACAGCCCGCATCATTGCGTCACACGAAGAAAGCGAGATTTGTTTCCGTGAGCCCCACATCAGATAGGAGTACTAGTAGTACTACTCTGTTATCGATGCTCCATTTTAAAAATTCTCCATTTTGAGGAACTCGTATTACATGAGCGCATGCAGGCGGTATCTAGGTTTGGCGTTTGGCCCCATGTTGAGGTGTCGAGTGCCGACGAGCTGACAGCGTCGAGGCAAAAACAGTAGAATAGCATCGCAGCATGTTGCGACATCGAGAAAGGAACAGTATAATCCCTCCTGCAGGCTGCAGGAATCCTAGGTGATTATCCCATAATTCCGGGCGAAGTGGCAATTCCAATTTCATGGGTGGACCGTGGTTCTGAAACTTCACCAGAATCCTAGCATTTGCGGTCGAACTCCAGAGGACCACAAGCACACAACTACACATTCTCAATGCTGCAACCAGCAACCTTGGTAGTAACAAATTTGCAGTAAAGTTCCTGTCATGTTCTTTGAACCGGCCAGTGGCCACCTAGCTGATAAAGTAAGGCCTGTTTTAGTTCCTAACTTTTTCTTCAAACTTTCAACTCTTCAGTTACATCGTTTAAATTTCAATCAAACTTCTGATTTTGGCGTGAACTAAACACACCCTAAAAGAAGAAATTTCTGCCATTTATAACTAACTACTGTAACTGAACTGACTCTCAAAATTCAGCAATGACAAAGCCAGCCGACCGCATATCGAAAGGCCAGCAATTTTAACTTGCCAAATCGGATTCAGGCTCGATGGCGGAGCGGAGTCCCTGCCGAACCATCATCTGCGCGTAGAATTCGGCGTGTTCCTGTTCAGGCAAGCACCAAAGTAGCAAAAGAAAAGTTAACTAAAGCTATAGCAACATACTACTAGTACTAGATTACTAGTAGCATGTGATGGGAGCGTGTGTGTTGCCGCCATTTTCGGTTGGTTTCGAACTAAAGGAGGCGGGCGTGAAGAGGCTGTGGAATTTATATACCTTCACGGCGACAATGACGAGCGCGGCGCCTTTCTGCCGGGACGCGTGGAAGAGCTGCCGCGCCGCCTCCGCGGTCACGGACGGCACCACCTGCGGCAAGGCCTTCTCCACTGCACACACCGCACGCGTATCAACACAAGTCACACAGCGACGCAGCCACGCAGGCACGCAGCATGTTTATGTGGCATTCACAGCGTTAGCGATGCAGGCGAGATTGTTCAGCTTGCAGACTTGTAGGTTGCAGCAATACAGGTTGGCCAGGTTGTTTCGTGAGAAGAGAAGGATTTGCGTACCAAGCTTCTCGGTGTGGCGGGCGTCGTCTATGAGCAAAACTTTGTAGCTGTCACCGCTTCCAGAGCCCCTCCTGTCCCTCATCCTTCCGGTGTCCCCTCCTGTGTATACAGTCGTAAATGCGAGTTAAGCAACACTGCAAACGAATGACAAATCTCTCTACAAAGGACGCAGAATTGCAAAAAGTACATCGTTGCACATAATCGATAAATCACCTTCTTGTGTCACGGGAAGCGTGTCGAGCTGGGACTGGTCGAAGGCCGGCCGCTCCAGCAGCGCGCCGCCGCTGCTGGCGTGCGGCACGGCCGCCACCGCCACCGCCTTCCTCCGCCGGTGGCTGACTCTTTGGTCCACGGAGACGCTCCGGGAGACCGGAGCGGCGGATGCGGTGGTCGGGAAGATGAGCGCGCCGCACGCAGCTGCTCTGCTACTGATGGCCATGGCAGTGGCAGGCGTTGTCATGTCGGAATCGGAAGCAGAGGAGATCGATGTATCGCGTTTGATGCGCGCGGCAAGAGTTCGCTCCTTGCGTGAGGGCAATGGAGGGGGAGAGGCGCACACGCACAATTCGCAACCGGTGGAAGATGTGAGCTTTGTTCTTGTGGCGATGGTACATGGCAGGATTTATTCAGGGTTTCAGCCAAGAAAGCGCCAAAAAGCCATTCTGTCGTGTGCTTGAGAGCATGGTCCATCTGTGCGTACTCGGTAGGGCGAACGATCTGTGGCTAAGCATAGCTGACCCGGGGAAATTGGGGGCTATTTTGGATTGAAGCCAAAACATGTCCCTACCAAAATTTTGGTAACTTAAATAGTAAACGTGCTAGTTTGGATTGAAGGCCAAACAATTGGTAGTGTCGTTGCTCAATTTGGCTATATTCTAGAATCTTCTTCACCATGTATCTATCTATCTATCTATCTATTATATTATTAAGACAGCTCGAAAAAAGGCACCACGTTCACTGTGGAGACTAGAAATTCTCAGATTAATCGAAGAAAAAGAAAAAAAAGAGTCCAAACAGAAATACAATCTGAAAAATAACTGGAATTCAGAATTTAAAAAAAGGCTATATTGAAAGAGGAGTCCATCTAAAAACCCAATACGTGATTAATTAAAATTCGGAATAATAAATAAATAAATTGTTGAAATTAGAAAAAAGAAAAAAGAAAGTTCAAGTAGGAATACAAATTTGAAATTACTAAAAGAATAATGGTCTAGATTTGTTGTACACAAGATAATCATATCAATCTAATTATAGATCATACAATCCGTACTAGGAGTCCTTGTCCGTTTAGAAAAATCAATTGCAAAACTGTACAGTATAGAGCTATGATTCTAAACCAACATACATTGCCGCACATATATAGGGTGGAGATACCAGACCAGCACGCTTAGGCTGCAGCAGCAGAAAAATAATATAGTGCCCTCATTTCATACGAGTAAGAACCCAATACGAGATTAATTAAAATTCAAAATAAAAAATAAAATAAAATCCGAAATAAGAAATAAAAAAAGAAAAGAAGAGTTTAACTTGGAATGCAATTTAAAAATAACTGAAATTCGTAATAAAAAATAAATATTATTTAAAGAATACACCATCTAGAAAAATACGAGATTAATTAAAATTCGAAATGAAAAATAAAATAAAATCCGAAATAAGAAATAAGAAAAGAGAAGAAGAGTTCAACTTGGAATGCAATTTAAAAATAACTTAAATTCATAATAAAAATTAAGACTATTTAAAGAATACACCATCAGAACACTGTCAGGGTTATGGATACCACATACCTAATAGTAGTTGACTAAATCTCGGCAGGATCCACCACATACCATGTACTATACGGAAACAACCTGCGGATATAGGAGGAGTTCCGGATAAGGAAAGACAACCAGAGTTCTACATGGAAACGACAAGGACTACTCGGATTGTATCCATATTGGTTTCTTTATTTTTACTTGGACAAGGGGACACCTATAGGTATAAATACAAGCCCCCCTAGGAGGAGAGGGGAGAGAACATAGACACGGACAATCAACACACGACCACCTCAATCAACACCCAACACAATCGACATAGAAGCCTACATACGCCAAGACACGCCGCCGGATATCGACTTCAGGGATAAGCACGGCTAGTACCCTGCGGTGTCTCCGGATACTGTCAGGAGAGACGAAAGCGTTATCTCTGATCTCGCCGGGCACGGATTCGAGGAGGAAGGCTACCCTGTTGTCGACTACGAGTCAGAACTTCAGACCGCCATATCGACAACAGTTAGATAGGCTACCCCAAACATTGTACTGGTGTGATTATGGTGAATAAAAGCAACGACCGGCTCCGGCCAACAGGATGTAGGGTTATTACCTGACAATTCAGGGGCCCGAACCTGTATAAAAATCCTCGTCTCCGTCTCTTTTACCTCAGTCTCGCGTATACCCTAGCACCGACGATCCTCATATCATGCAAATACCAGAACCGCGACATCAGACGTCGACAAACACATAACGAGATTAATTAAAATTCCGAATAATTAATAAAATAAATTCTGAAAATAGAATAAAACAACTAGGAATATAATTTATAATAAAATCTATCGGAACGAAAAATATGGAAATTTCAAAAAAAAAATCATCTAGAACACAACGATGATAAATGATAATAAATATCTGAGAAGCAACAGGGTTGTAAAGGAGTAGAGTGGTGACAGTTAGGGACATCTAAAAACTATTAACAAAACCCCAAATAGAATCCCAATGACAATTAAAAGGAGTGACGACGGACAGGCCGTTAAGCAGCACGGTCACGACGGTTGTGGGATTTCTAAAAAATTAAAAAAATAAACCTCAATGATAATCACGTTCGATTTTAAAATCTCAAATATAATAAAGAGTGGGAGGAAGTGGGCGAGCCGTAGAGGAGTAAAGTGACAAAGCCACTGACGGTTTGGTGGGACTTTAGAAAGTAAAAAATTGAACTCATACGATAATTATGTTTGATTTTAAAATCCCAATGACAATAAAGAGAGGAAGCAGCGGATGGGCCGTAGAGAAGTATAATGGCAGCTTTTAATGGGACTTCTAAAAATAAAAAAAAATGAAACCAATGAGACAATAAACTCAAAAAAACTATAAGATCCAAAATTTAAAGGTTAGAAGGAGAATGAATAGAAGCCGTGGTAGATCGAGCAAGCAAACAAAGAAAGGGTGAAAAAAAAGTAAGGGATAGCAACTGATGTGACTTTTATAAAAGTTATAAAATTAGAAACATGGGGATGATATGGTTTGGTCTTTCAAAATCTTAAGACAATGAGATATGTATTGAATAAATTATAAGTAAAATTATATTAAAAATAGATAATTTTGTATGGTGTTAGCCGCACAATTACGCGGGCCACCCAGCTAGTTATATTATTAAAGGAATAGAAAAAGGAGCCTCCACGTTCGCTCTCATGACCTAGAAATTCTCACATTAATCGGAGAAAAAGAAAAAGTAGAGTCCATATAGAAATACAATTTAGAAATAGCTGAAATTCGGAATTAAAAAATAAGGAATATTAGAATAGGGGACTAGAGTCCATATAGAAATAAAATTTAGAAATAGTTGAAATTCAGAATTAAAAAATAAGGAATATTAGAATAGGAGATTAGAGTCCATATAAAAATACAATTAGGAAATAACTGAAATTCGGAATTAAAAATAAGGAATATTAGAAGTAGAGTATAGAGTCCATATAGAAATATAATTAGGAAATAACTAAAATTCGGAATTAAAAATAAGGAATATTAGAAGTAGAGTATATAGTCCATATAGAAATACAATTAGGAAATAACTGAAATTCGGAATTAAAAATAAGGAATATTAGAAGTAGAGTATAGAGTCCATATAGAAATACAATTAAGAAAAGAATAGAAATTCGGAATTAAAAAATAAGGAATATTAGAAGTAGAGTATAGAGTCCATATAGGATTTTTAAAACTAACTAAAATTTGGAGTAAACATAATAAAATTAAAAGTAGAGTTTAGAATCCGTATAAAAATACAATTTACAAATAACTAAAATTCAAAATTAAAAAAATATGGGAAGAAGATTTTAAAGTCAATATAGGAATACAATTTAGAAGTAACTGAAATTCGAAATTAAAAATTAAAGAATATTGAAAGATGAGTTTAGAGTCCACATAGAAATACAATTAGAAATAATAAAAATTCAGAAATAAAAATAAATAATATTGGAAGAAGAGCATAGAGTCTATATAGAAATACAATTTACAGAAATTTTGGAATTAAAAAAATATTAAAAGACGAGTCTAGAGTCCATATAGGAATATATATAATTTACAAATAACTAAAATTTGATATTAAAAATAATTAATAACTAACACGTATATAAAATACAATATGGATATTTCACATTAGTAGTTTTGTAAAGTTATTGCAAAATTTAAAATTATGTTGTCATTTTAATATATTAGTATAATATAATGAGAAAACATATATGCTATTATATATGTGATAATATAATGATGCTAGCCGCGTAATCTGTGCGGGCCACCATGGTAGTTATATTATTAAAATAGCTTTGAAAGGAGGCACCACGTGCGCTGTGGAAGCTAGAAATTCTCACATTAATCGGAGAAAAAGAGAAAAAGAAAAAGGAGAGTCCAAGTAGAAGTACAATTTAAAAATGGTTGAAATTCGAAATTAAAAATAAGCAATATTGGAAGAAGTTTCCATATAAGAACCCAATACGAGATTAATCAAAATTCGAAATAAAAATAAAATAAAATCCAAAATTAGAAAAGGAAAGGAGAGTAAAAGTAGAAGTACAATTTAAAAATAGCTCAAATTCGGAATTAAAAATAAGGAATATTGAAATAAGTTTCCATATAAGAACCCAATATGAGATTAATCAAAATTCAAAATTAAAATAAAATAAAATCCAAAATTAGAAAAGAAAATGAGAGTCCAAGTAGGAATACAATTTAAAAATAGCTGAAATTCGGAATTAAAAATAAGGAATATTAAAAGAAGAATCCATATAAGAACCCAATACGAGATTAATTAAAATTCGAAATAAAAATAAATAAATCCGAAATTAGCAAAAGAAAATAAAAGAAGAGTTCACGTAGGAGTACAATTTAAAATTAGCTAAAATTCAAAATTAAAAATAAGCAATATTGAAAGAAGAATCCATGTAAGAACCCAATACGAGATTAATTAAATTTAGAATAAAAATAAAATAATATCTAAAATTAGAAAAATTAAAAGAGAGTTCAAGTAGGAATACAATTTTGAAACAACTGAAATTGAAAATAAAAACATTAAAATAATACAATACGATATTAACTATTTTTTTAAAAAAAATCTGAAATTATAAAAAGAAAAATAAGATTTAAATTAGGAATACAATTTATAAATAACTAAAATTTGTGATAAAAATAAAGATTATTGAAAGAAAAGATCATTTAAAACACATGACGAGATAAATTAAGTAACATGCCTATAAAGGAGTAGAGTGGTGGCGGTTGATACGAGATATAAAAATTGCTAATAAAACACCAAATAGAATCCTAATAACGACTAAAAGGAGTGACGTCAGGCAGGCCGTGAAGCAAATGAG